GAAAAATTAAATTTTAAGCTACCAACTCAGAAGGCTCTTGCAACAAAGTATTTGGAAAAACTTTACAATGAATTGCATAAAGAATTATCTGACGACATAACAAAATCACCATTTTTTCACGTTCAGTGGTGACGGATGGAGTAAAGTTAGAAATGAGGGAATTATATTTTTTTTAATATGTAAACCAGAAACCATATTCGTCAAGAGCTTAAACACGGAAGATAATCTGCACTCCAGTGAATATTTGGCTACAGAAATCGAAAATGTTATTAAAATTTATGATGAGAAAAAAACTTTCGTTGTAATCGGAGATCGGAGACGATGCTAGAAATTTGCAAAGGGCTTTTGAAATTTTGGGAAGAAAATATCGGTAGATAGTGCCTCTAAATTGCGCAGCACATAACCTAAATTTAATATGCGCAGATGCCATGAAAGTCAGTGTCATTCAAGCTTGTATTGATCTTGCAACAGAAGTTATAAAGTGCATTAAAATAGTCAAATTTTGAGCGCACTTTTAAGAAAAATTCGGAAAGACAAGGAAATTCATGGTGGAACCTTGAAATTACCATGTAACACTAGATGGGGGAGTCATGTGGCGGCTTTAAAACGTCTGAAAGTTAATAAGGCAGCACTTCAAATTCTCGCCGTCCATAAACATACCTACATCAGACGTCAAAGTACCTACGATTCTCGACGATGGTTTTTGGACTATGGTTGAACAATGCCTTAGTATAATGGAACCAATCACACAAGCGATCTTTGAACTCGAGGGTGATAATTATAACATCAGTAAAGTTTATATTATGACCTTCAAAATATATTATGAAAATTGTTATTGGCTTGCACTTCGACAACTATTCTGAAAACTTCTGATATAGAACGTTTGAAGACTGCAGTAGAACATAGAACTACACAAGTTCTCAAACCCATACACTACGCGGCACATATGCTGGACCCTAAAGCTGAAGGACATGAACTCACTCAGCATCAAGCGATGGAAGCGATGGAGTTTATGTATATGTTCTGTACATAGCGGTTTTTTTGAATTTAGATTGTCTGGTTGATCTTGCCCAATATAGAGCGAGAGATGGTTTATGGGGAAAAGAATTCATATGGAAAGCTACAGAAAAGGTAGATGCAGTATTGTGGTGGAAAGGAATTTGTTGGTTCTTCGCCGCTAAGTAAAGTGGCATCTTGACTGCACCTTGCACATCTGCGGCTACGGAATGCTCGTTTAGCATCCATGGTTTCCTACACAGTGCTAAACGAAATCGCCTTACTACAGAAAGAGCAGCTCAAATCACATCTTTGGCATACAGTTGGAACTTAAAGAAAAATAATGATCCATCTAAAAGTACCGAATAATTGTCCAATGTTAACGATTTAAAGACATGAAAAAGTCAAATTTTTAGGACCATGATGATGTTAAAAATTGTCAAATATTTCATTTTATTCGGAAATCTTACAGCGTAAGAACATACATACTATATTACTTACTTATGATTATTGTAGTATCAAAGTCAATTACGAAACTTCACTTCATTTTCATCTTACAAGTGTTAAAATTATATTTTCTAAAATTACGTATTCGAATTTTCAACTGTGACTTTTTTAACAAGACTGATTATCTTATGACTGAATATTTGATTAAAATTTTAATTTACAAAATACCTACTGACATTAAGCTTTATTTTAAGTTCCTGCTTTATTTTTTACAAAACATAGTTATTCATTTTTATGCCCAGTGATCGGGCATTTATTTGGGCGTAAACTCATTAATGCCCAATATGCCAAGTTTATGCCCATTTTGTCCATATTTGTTTTTGCCCTCGACCCATCTCTACCGATAACAGAATAAATACACCCATAGGTATCTATGGCAAATACAAAATTATATCATTTTCTTTCGACGAAGTAGTCACACAGTCAAGCAAACCCTACTTAAAAATAAGAGGGACTTTCCAACTAGACGGCGTTCAGGTACAATCTTTTATTTATTTATTTATTTAATTTAACACATCCTAACAGATTACACTCAATGCGATAATGTCGTCACTTAATATAAATACTTATAATTAACATAGTTATATAACACAGCCATACATATTAAATGCATTTATCCATCAACTACATATGTACAACTAACAACATCAGTCGTTACCTTTATGAAAATCTTGATCAATTGAAGATTTAGATTTGAAAATAGGTTTTTACCTGAAACGAAATTGTTCGCCTAGTTCCCGTTCGTCCCGCGGTGTGATCTCGAAGACGCCGGTGAAGGCGTATGGGTGTCCGCCGTATGCCCACTCCGAGCCGTGAACCTGTACCCCACTGTGGAACACTCCTACACCCGCACCCGCCGTATACCTGGACACATAAAGATAAATAAATTCATAAAGTGGTATTATAATAATTAAATCACACTTTGTGGATTAAACAATTATCTCGTGCGGGAATCGAACCCGAAGCAAGAGGCGATCGCTCAACCACTGCACCAGGGGCAAACAGAGCAAAAGTAAAAATTAAGAAGAGAAAAATAAATTATGAAAGATAAAGAGAATATTGAAGAATAACGCTTACCATCGTTTGAACCCTTGTCTATAAGAAAACATTGTTAAATAGGGTCTTACAGTACTTAAGACAGAAATACATTACCGTGGCGCAGTGTGTCGTGGCGGGCTAGAAGCATATCGGATTATACATTTTCCATGGATGTCGTGTTGCGTGGGGCGTCAAATACTTGTAGCCGATTGGTGGCCACGGTGATGTATTTCTGCCATTATTATTATGTACTTACCAGTTGGTCCAGTACATGTCGTAGACGTTGAGGACGACGGCCGCCTGGCCGGGGCGCGGCGCGCGCTGCTCCCCGCGCCGCGACAGCAGCGACATGCACGACGGGAACATGGCACAGATGCCGCACGACTGCACACACAATATTACACTCAGACAAGCGCTACTTTTGACACATCATTTTACTTTATTACTTATTATGTTTACCGGCTTACACACGTAACAATTCCACAAGGAACTCGAGTTTAACTAGCCACTTTAATGGCTCATATTCATAAACAGCATTGCAATGAATCCCTTGAAACTTTGGATTGAATCTAGTCACTTGTCTAGTTTCAAGAAAAATACTTATTTCTCACGAAAGGTACAATAGGAAAACATACTTTTACTGCCGAAACTAATAACCAATCTTAATCTTTGGATGGATGGACAAGTCAAAAATCGATGTTAACCATTGACTGCTGGACCTGCTGGTATTTGAAAGACAACAGAAAATACATAGTGTCTCGCGTGGTTGGCACACCACGGATTAATCTTTGGATTACGATCGATTTTCGACTTTAGGTTAAGGGCTCACGGCGCTATTTTGAATAGAGGCGGAATTTTAAAAACCCACGAGACTGCAGTTTTCTGTGCTTCCGCAGCCGCCGTAGTTGCGGTTATCGCCCGCCAACTTGGCGGTTGATTATCGCAAGACGCAAGTATGAACAATCAGTTGAGTGGCAAACCGGTCGTATCATTGCGATCGCCCGCCAACCGATTGCAGAGCGCGCGGGCAAGCAGCAGCATCTGCAGGACCGCGGCGTCTGCGGGACCGCAAACAATCGCAACCGCCGCGGGCGGAAAACGCGCCGTGAAAATGTTGCTTTGTTTTTTTATATACATATACTGTATTCTACAAAGGCTGTAGACCAACAGCCGCAGCGACGAGAGCGGGAGAAAATTGCGCCGTGAGTTCTTAGCCTCAGTTGTATGGGGTAGACTGAGTAGACTACTCTGTAGAGTTACAGTCAAAAACCTATATGGATTAATATCTATATTGGATCAAAGTTGGTTATTAATTTACGGCTGATAATAGTCATGCTGTTCTTTGATAAAGCTGAAGCGGTTCCCAAAGACTAAAACCCTATGAAATAAGACATGGTACCACATCGGCCAGTCTTCTTGAATTGCTAATTGCTTTCGAAGGAATAAACCAGCCACACATCGTTTTATGTAAACAAATGAATGTTCATTGAAGGTCGTGTTCAGTGTGCGTGCTATTAAAGAGATCTATACCCAGCAGTGAAGAAGAAACAGCAATAAAAACGATTTTAAAGATATACGAGACTTCATTACTTAATAGTCTTAGTAGATAACAAGTTAGAATTTACACAAAGATCAACGTCACCGTCGTAAGTTTATTTTGTGTGTATTGTAAACTATGTATTTACTTTCTGTGTTGTAAATAATTCTGTGTGACCACACAACACTATGATAAGATTTGTGTCGGTCTAACCTAAGCAAACACTTATACCGTCGAGTTTGTTCAGTACTTTATTTACTTTCCAAGAATCAATTTATTACTGTAAATAATGTTAAAATGTGTTTCTATGTTATGTTTAATATACCTAGTAGTTTTAACATCCAATTTCCAAAATGCTTGCTTATAATAGAGTATATTTTTTATCTTTATGCCCATTTATCCTGGACATAAAGATGAATGGGGAAATATGTGGTTTTGGTAAAAAAGAAAATTATTAAATTTTATTAAAGATATAATAAAAAAATTAAAAGACTGCCTCGTTGGCCGAATGGTCGCAAGTGCGACCGGGCAAGGGGTCTCGGGTTCGATTCCCGGGTCAGGCAAAGTATTACTGGATTATAAAGAAAAATCGAAAAATCGTAGCATGGAGTCCGGAAATGTGCCCGGGATATGGCAATAAGCTCATCCCCTATTACATGGTACTCATAACATTAATAGTGAATAGTGGGTGCTACGTCTGTATGCACCTCTGCCTACCCCTTCGGGGACAAAAGGCGTGATGTTATGTTATGTTATGTAGTTTTTAAATAATGTGAATGCGGCTGAGGTTGTAGTCTCCTCAATAATATCTATATATTTGGTGGGAAAATATGAGCGATATTTACAATCGAAAATAATGATATCTATCTGTTATGGACTAACCATTTGGTGTAATTCAAACTCTGATCACTGTTAAATTCTATATGCTAGAAAACATAAGTATTTGTTTATGTTATAGTGAAAGTCCAAGTGTGCTAAGTCCATGTATTGAAAGTGATATCCATTCATCAGTTATTCAGTATTATGAGCAATAGAAAAACTGATATGTTAGAAGTCATTGACCGGCTAAAAATATAGTCAGCAATGAAACCATGAAAACACGTGGCTTTTATTATCTTTAGTGGAACAGAACTGTATTAATTAATCAGATTGTAGGATATTTAGTTCATATATTGCTGCGTTGATTAAATAAACTATTTGCTAGTCCTGAAAAATACTTAGAAACTCAAGGATTTCAGAAGGCAGATTGATTCTAGCTAGTCTACAATGTACTGATTACTATGATTAATAGAGATAATTGACCTTGTCTTCATCAATGAATTTTGATTCACATACCTGTATCAAATCTACAAGGTAGACAATCATAGCCTAGCTTCACTGGCGGACAGACTGACAGACTATTATATCTATTTATATTAACTGTTGACGTTTCAAAAGTACCAAATTATAGCTTAATTGAAATAAATGCTTTTGAGTTTTGAGTTTGATAGGGCAAACATACATCGCAGTATTTGACTGACGAACACAGATAAATTATTTTCGTATTTTCTAAGCGAACAATGACTACAAAGTCTAAGCACCACGAAAAAGAACTGATATTTCAAAATCGCTAGAAAATGATTTAAGAAAGCAATTTTCTTAGCAATACCCTGTTAAAAGGATCCTTAAACCAAATTTTAATTCCTTAAATCTAAAGCAAAAAGTAATCTGGTATACGATTCAAGTATGGTTGTGTATCCGACGACATTTTACGACCTCCCATCCGATCTCCCGTCGTTAACCTACATCGTAGAAATATTGGAGACTCGTGGAACTAAACCATTGATGTTTGTAAAACGGTGTCTATGAATGTAAGCGTTTATGGAATACTGGTCTTCCGTGTTCTTAAATAGAAGTATTTTATTTTAGGGTACGGCTGAAGTATTTCGGATGATCACTAATTAGTGTTGCGTTACATAATCTGTTCTTGTATCTGGTGTATTAACATCATTTGTAAAATGTCCTGAGATGCATTTACAGACTTCTGCGTCAGACAGATAACATCCGGAGCTGCGGAAGACTTAACGGTTTTTTTTAAGCCGGTAAACGAGCAGATGGATCACCTGATGGTAAGCAATCGGCGCAGCCCATGGACACCCGAAACACTAAGGCGTTACAAGTGCGTTACCGCCCTTTTGGGAATTGGGAATTTGTGGATTGTGGAGGATTCGGGGATTCGGGTAATCGGGCCTCCGGTAACCTCACTCACACGACGAAACACAACGCAAGCGTTGTTTCACGTCGGTTTTCTGTGAGGCCGTGGTATTACTCCGGTCGAGCCGGCCCATTCGTGCCGAAGCATGGCTCTCCCACATTGAAACCGGGTTACCGCGGCTCCGGCTCGTAGGAAGTAGGAAGTAGGAATAGGAACAGTGTGGTTTTTATTCAGAAGTCTGACATTCTCTGTCGCCTCAGCCTCAACCAGGCGAGATGGAAATGGATCATAGGATGATTTTTCCCCCTTAAAAAAAGACACATAACATAATAACTGACATAACAAAAAAAGGCATATCGAAACCACATATGATTTCAGAATCAAGCCTACACCAGACAGACATCGATGGCAGGTAAGATATTATATTTCATATATAATATTTGTATCTTGAATTATCACTAAGTAAATAGACGGATTTGTTTTCGGATATAAATTGATATGAAGTAATCCATGCGACGAATAAAGCTGTGTAATTTATGACTTGCGGCTGTTCTGAGATGCGAAGTTTCAGAGTTCAGAGTAATTCGTGTTAAATCTTTAAGTAAAGAGTTTATAGTTTAAAATTCTCAGTAAGTACAAGCACATACCTTAAAATTATGGTATACGGTAAAAATTTTCGTATATCCCTTGAAGTTAAAACCGAGTTAACTTTACATTATGTTATTCTGAACTTTGCAATTGCCTTATTATGGTTAAAGTTGATTTCAGCATCTTCCGACTAGGAGTATATTCATGACTCTTTTAATCCCTTACGGAGTAGAAAGTTGTGTATCGCACACAAACTTTTAGCCAGTTATTTTATCAGTTTTATGTATGTAGGTACTTTAACCCGGTTTTACATCGTGCCTGAACCAATGAGGCAGTCCCACTCACATCTAAATAGATAATATATCAATTGTCAATATTCCATACAACTTCATATAACCGGAGATAAGCGGCCTTTGTCGTGCAAAAACACAACCTACGCTTTTCATTTCATCTTTTGAAAAGTTGAAGAGCAAACAATGTTACAGGAGCTAAGAATTTAACCAAGTTTCATTATTATGAGTAGAAAAAGCGATTCTTAACGGTTGCTAAGTGCTCGTCAAAATTATTTCAAAGGCAAGGCCTCCATCGGTTAGTTACAAAGGCTAAAATGCGTCACTTGGCTAGTTTAACCTGGCATGCAAATCTGACGTTAAGCCGACAATGTTCACGCGATATAACTAATGCATCAACGTATTTAGAAATTGCACGTTACTGAAAGGTTATTTCATTTTAAGACTTATTAAAAAGAGTATTGTATTAAACAGAGCATAGTAAATATTTTTCCCCACAATGGACGATCACGACTGAACCTAAATTGAAACAAGTGATCGTTCAGTGAACAAAATTCGATTGCAATTTCACACAAACTCCTGTCAAACGCAGGGTTAACGCTCAGTTTTAGAGCACAGTTTTGTACAGTATCCTATCAATTATATGGTAGAAATAGGAAGTAACCGACAAAAACATAGCATGAGGATGAAAATAGAGGGATGGAAGGGAAATATTAATGATACATTTGTCATTACATTACATTTAAAAGTTACACTATACATATTTAACGTAACT